ACTGTAGTCTACTAAAAATAAACACATGTAGGTTGAACATAAATGGTTTTCCATGTTCACTGTTTCAGATTGCCAAGCAATAATATCCCATGCTGCTCTGCCATGCCTTTGCATGCTGCAAAGAAGTGGAGCTCTGAAAAGCAAGCTGAACATGAATAACCATTATAGTATTTGACCCTTTCAAACGTCTTTCCACATAGGCTGCAGTGATATAATTTAACCTCTTAACTACCTCCTCAATATGTAAACAAAAAAACCCCAGACCACCCACTTAGTTTTCTGCTTCAACATGAATTCAAGTGTGTATCAATATGCTTTCTAAAATGCATGTTTCTGAAGTGCCTCAATATATGCATGTAAAGGCAAGACACGTGGCACAGCCCATCCCGTTATGCCCCTGCTTCCTACATTGCCTTGAGCACCAAAGGCCGACAGCAGAGAACACCACTTCAGGTAACCTGAGGCTTTGTAGTGTGGTTTTTCATTTTGGATTTCTCTTACACCCTTATGTCCAGTTATAAGTCTTATACCCTTACCTCTTATGTCCAGTTCAACTCTTATCTTTAGTTTACAGAGCAAGAACTAAATGCAACTCACTCCATCCATAAAAGGTGGTACATAACCTTGCAGGTTATGTAGCAAGGTTAGGTAACCAACAGACAATGTCTTGGAAGACATCAGAGATACCCGAGATGTGGTGGAAGGGGAAAAAAAGCCTTCAGAGGCTGGTGACATTTCAAGTCAAATGGAATTAAGTGGGCAGGGAACTAAACCGATGATTGTATTTCTGATCTGGATTAACACATCAAAATTGGTGATCAAAATAAGTTTTCTCCTCCTGGTGCCTACACTGGATAAGGGCAGACCAAATGTGTAATGCCTACAAATCCCAATTATCTTTGCAGTTATGTGGACACTAGTGTGTGTGTAAGTGCCCAGGAGAACCAGTAAGTGGAAAGCTAATGCTGACTGGAAAGTTGTGGATAAAGGCTCAACAGAATAGCCTGGAGGAGGGAAAGCGTTTTAAGATATAGAAAAGGAAGTAAAACAATGGGAGAGGGCAAGAAGGAAGAAAGGCTTAAAATGACAAGATGATGTTATGCACATCACATGCCACATCCGTACCATTAAAGCTACCAAGCTACTCAATTTTACACAAGACATATGCACAGACATACAGTGCAACTGGAGGCAAGAGCTGGAAAGCGTGTCCCTTGTCACTGTTGGCCCATGTAAATGCGTCCACCTAAGGGGTGAAAAGTCACCTTTTGGAAATACCAAATAAACCAAATTGTACAGTGTCTGAAATCAAAACATTCATCAGCAGACTACCTCTAGGAGAGGACCAGGGTAAAGACACAAAGCAAATTCCCTGCTAATCAAGCATGTGTATGGGAATCCTCTACATGAGGAAAGGCTGGGTCTACCTTGCATCGAACACATCTGGCCCCAGCCAGCTCAAATGGACCCAACACAGGCACAACCAAGCCCCTCAGCCAAGATAGTGGTGCCTTGGGCAAAGTGTGTTTAAGAAAAGGCAAAACACTGCACGGCAGTGAGGAGTGCCAGGAAAAGATATGAGAAGCAGCTCTATTAGCACCAAAGTCAGGGAAGGAGGGGAGGAGGTGCCCCAGGTGCTGGAGCAGCGATTCCCCTGCAGCCATGGAGATGACTACAGTGGAGCAGATATCCACACTGCACCCCATGGAGGGCCCCATGGTAGAGAAGGTGAATATTTCCTGAAGGAAACTGGGGCCTGTAGAGAGTCTATGCAGAAGCAAGTTTCTTCTGAAGGACTGCAGCCCATGGGAAGGACCCACACTGGAGTGGGGGAAGAGTGAAAGAGGAAAAAGCAGCAGAAAGGAGCTGTTACAGACCAATTGCAAACCCCCACTCCCTATAGAATCATAGAATAGTTTGGGTTGGAAAGGACCTTAAGATCATCTAGCTCCAACCCCCCTGCCATGGGCAGGGATACCTCACAATAGACCATGTTGTCCAAGACTCTGTCCAACCTGGCCTTGAACACTGACAAGGATGGAGCATTTACCACTTCCTTGGGCAACCCATTCCAGTGCCTCACCACCCTCACTGTAAAGAACTTCTTCCTTATATCTAACCTGAACTTCCCCTGTTTAAGTTTAACCCCATTCCCCCTTGTCCTACCACTACAGTCCCTAATGAAGAGTCCCTCCCCAGCATCCCTGTAGGCCCCCTTCAGATACTGGAAGGCTGCTATGAGGTCTCCACGCAGCCTTCTCTTCTCCAGGCTGAACAGCCCCAACTTTCTCAGCCTGTCTTCATACGGGAGGTGCTCCAGCCCCCTGATCATCCTCGTGGCCTCCTCTGGACTTGCTCCAACAGCTCCATGTCCTTTTTATGCTGAGGACACCAGAACTGTACACAATACTCCAAGTGAGGTCTCAGGAGAGCAGAGTAGAGGGGCAGGATCACCTCCTTTGCCCTGCTCAATGTGGGGACGAGGTAGAAGAGTTGGGAATGAAGCAGTGAAGTACTTGGGCCTGGGACAAAAGGGGCTGTGGAGGGAAGGTGTTGTAATTTTTGTCTTTGTTTCTCACCACTCAAATCTACTGGCAAAAGTCAAATCTGTTTCGCCCGTAACAGTAACTGGCAGGGGATCTCCCTGTCTTTATCTAAACCCACAAGCTTTTCCATCATATTTTCTCCTCCTGTCCAGGTGAAGAGGGAGAGTGAGAGAGCAGCTGGGTGGGAGTCTGGCAGGTGGCCAAGGTCAACTCACCACAGCTGTATTCTTAAAACAGGTCAACCAGTGAAGAAATCCAACCAAGCTGTTTGTCATGGCTGTTTTATTGCAGTGAGTGGTCATATGCAAACATGGCTGTCAAGGCTTCATTATGTCGTCTTTTTAGTCAGCACCATGGTAGCCACAAGAGATTATTTCCCTCACCCCATTTCCAACTGCTTTTCAAGAGCCCCTATCAGAGACAGCTTTTCTTTGTTGGCTGAACTTCCTAATTGGTTTAATGAAAATGAGCTGGGCTACCTTAAATGTCTAAAGGATTTTGCTACCCAGGCTGATTCTGAATGAAACTGGATTGGAACATATTCCCACAAACAGCTCCACTGGCATATCTGACAGGCCAGTAATCACAAAGGAGTTAGAAGAAGGGAGGTCAGGGAATCACAGGTCTAGTGTGGAGTGTTGGCACTGCTGTTGATGGAAAAGGCTGTAAGAGTCAGTTGGATTTTGCCTTTGATCTGCCTTACTGGCCAGGTAGCCATTTCCTCTGTAGCTTGGTCTTCCAGACATATCATCATGATTTGTAGGCTGTGAATTACCATATATTTGATTTGGGGCTGAAAAAGCTGCAACTTATTTAAAGAAAAGTGAGTTTATTTTAATAGGATATTAGTTTCTAAGATGAAAACCACAAACTTATATCTGTGAATTTCTGCAAGAATCTGCAATGAGCACTCAATGTTCTCTCCCTGCTGTCCTTCTCACTAAACATAATTATCACAAGACTGGGAAGGAAAGGAAGTCCCTGAGAAAAGTAAGTGGGAACTAACACCTCTGAAGACCAACATCACATAAAGAAGAGGGTGCTTGCTTGATTTTTCAAGAAGAGCGTAAGCAAGGATGCTTTCTTGTCCAGAAAATTACCAATAGAGAAGAGGTGAAATACTTCCATTGAGTCCCACTTTCTTTAAGTACTTTTCCTGTCCTTCCAACTGCCCCAGAAACTTCAGAAGTCTTCAACACTGAACCAAGCCTTCATTTTCCAGCAGTTGCACAATAAAAAGATCCAAGTTAAAAGAAAGTTTTCTGACTGCCTGGAAGTAATTTGCCACCTTTTCACTTCCTAGGTCTGTCATCTAGCTCAGATCATCCTGTCCAGGCTGAAATGGATTTGGGTGGAGTCAGACTCCTACACAGTTGTTCCGTAGTGCTCACTCTCTTGTTAAGCTTCGTTACTTCTAATTTGCCATTGTTCTGAGCAGAACTGGCAAATAATTTTAAAATCACAACCACCTACCCGAAAGAGCAATGAGATGTGAGGAAGAAAGAGCAATGGGCTCGAAAAATTGTCTAATCTTAGTATTCCTTCAGGACTAGTCAGTATTTGTTCTGCACAATCTCTCTCAGTCAAATATTTAACAGAAGACAAGAAAGTCAAGTCTTTCACCTATCAGAGCAAGTCTCTGATATTGCTAGAACACATGAGCCCAAGGTTTTGATTAAATTGGCCCTCTTTCAATATCCCTGTGTAGGTCAACATAAAGCAATACATTTCTTGGGTCAATATTTTATCTGATCCTGTGTTATATTAAATTGATAGTCCAAAACAATGTTGTTATTAGTCTCTGATCCTGTGTTATATTAAATTGATAGTCCAAAACAATGTTGTTATTAGTCTCTGCCTCTACTGTGTCCACAGCTGCATTAAAAAACCAACATTAACTCAGTAACAAATTTAAAGAAATAAAACTCTTAATATATACTTGGTTATTTTTTATTCTAATATACTTTTATGCCTTTATACTCTAACTAAACAACTGTGAAACAAAGCTTCTTTTCTTTCAGATGTCGAAGTTGACAAGTTGCGTAATTTAAATAAAGATATTTGAGAGCCACTTAACTCCATTTTAAGTTAATAACTTCTCCCTCACAAAGCTGTTCCATTTTGTTTCTAATATCAAGGCTTAATTAGTCTCTGACTGCAGTTTGCATGTACTGTACTCAAGCTGTAACAATGCAGAAAAAAGTGAAAATAAAAAAAGTCCACTGACATCCAATTAGATGTAGATATAAACCCCAAATTATTAGTGTAAGAGGCTGCAAGTGTTATTATATGAGATATTTTCCTTCCAGGTAACTAAAGAGTAAGAAAGGGTCAAACAGCAAAAACATACAGAAAGGATAAGAGAATTGAACACTCTAGAGAATTTGGTGAGAAGACACACAGTACAGTACATTCAGTAAGAGTGAATGTTGAAAAACAGGACTGAACAGCATTGTTGAACTACATTGATAAAGACTAAAGCTAGATTTCTTATCCTTTCTTTTGGTATGTGAGTTACGGAGTTTTCCAGCAGTGCTTGAAACAAGGCATTGAACAACAGTAAACAGATTTTCCTTCTTTTTTTTTAGTACAGTATTTAACTCTGCAAACATCTCTGCTGCTTCAGAATACAGAACATCGTTATATTGATATGACAACAGCACACTGACACGTTGTGATGAAATTTGGTTGCTGTATCGTGAAACACCCATATTGACATTTCACCCAGTGAAGAGTGTTTCACTGCTAAAGAATACACGTGGCAAACCAGTGCAAACTGCGGGTGTCTGTGTTTCCAAGAACAAAAGATCATCCCTGAGAAATCTGCCTGATCTAGAACTAAGAAACCCAGTGCTATGGCAGTTCAGGTAACCCCATCATTAAACAACATTCAAAGAAGCACCAGTTTCCTGTTCTGTAAGCTCAGCATTAACTGAAAATACATTCTTACATGCTTCTCTGAAAACTCCCAATTCACTGCTGAAACTAAAGCCCATCTGATGCAAATCTGGTAACAACCAGCTTTAGCATATGCAGCTCACTAATACATGCAAGGGAGGGATGAATTCTAGCAGTCAGTTTTGCAGCTTTCTGACTTCACTTTTTTTTCCTTTTGACAGAAACAGAGACCTTTGCTCCTCTGCAGTTTGCATGGTTCTTCATTTAGGAATAAGTGACGCAAGTCAAACTCTTACCTCCTCATACACTCCAGAGCCTGGGTGAAGACCTGTGGAGCCATTCCATGTTCATGCTGTAGGATCAAACACTGCTCTAGGGTGACCGACATGGCAGTCCTATCCTTGGCACTTTTACAGCTTGTAAACCGAACACCATTTAGTCTGCGGCATATCTAGAAATGGATATACAATTCATCATTCCTTCCTCATGCATAACCTTCTGTCGGAGAACACACCTGTACTTCTCCTTAGAAAGACATAAATGTTGTAAAGACTTTGATGTCAAAAGGTGTCATCTTTGAGAAAGCAGAACTTTGTTGCATGAGTTGTAGGGAATGGAAAATACGTTTTATCTCCCCATATCTCATTCTACAGGAGGTTTAACCTGTCAGCATTTCCAAGCTACGTGCAAGCAAATGAAAAAATCGGAACATATCAGTAATAAAGAGGTGAAAATACGTATGTATACAGAAAATCAGATGAACTATGCAGAGATGCTTAGATTAATAAATACCTCAGCAGCTTGCCAAAGGATATCAACATTCTTATTTTTCCTTGCATGTACATTTTGTCCCAGAAATCTTAAAAGTTCAGGCAGGCACGTCTGACTACGAGATCGAGGTAGACCTGTAAAACAAACAAAGCCAACTCCAATTACTTGTCTGTATTCAACACTTTTACAAGGTAAGTTACGTGGAAAGCGTTCCTACGTGCCTGTTGCAAACACAATCCTTTCTTCCTGAGTCAAAACTTGTAAGGTTTGTCATTCAATTCTTAATTACTTAGTACCACCAACAAAACAGATTCAATTTTAATTAAAATCAAGTGGAAATACATATTCATTTAAAATTTCAGGGGCTCAGAATCTGATAGCAATATAATAACAGAGTGAACAAAGGGAGTAAGACTGGTGGAAGGGTCTAGGGCACAAGTCTTAGGAGCAGCTGAGGGAACTGGGGTTGTTTAGTCTGGAGAAGAGAAGGCTCAGGAGGGACCTTATTGCTCTCTACAACTACCTGAAAGCAGGTTGTAGTGAGTTTGGGGTCGGTCTCCCAGGTAACAAGTGGTAGGACAAGAGGTAACAGCTTCAAGCTGCACTAGGAGAGGTTTAGACTGGATACTGGGAAAAATTTATTCACTGCAAGGATTATCAAGCATTGGAACAGGCTGTCCGGGGAAGTGGTGGAGTCCCCATATCTGGAGGTATGTAAAAGACGTGTCCCGGGGGTACTTAAAAGATGTATAGATGTAGCACTTAGGGACATGGTTTATTGGTGGACTTGGCAGTGTTAACGGTTGGACTTGATCTTAAAGGTCTTTTTCAGCCTAAATGATTCTGTTCTACGATTAGCAATATTGTGCCTGTACTGGTCTGCTCTGCTTCACCTCTACACCTAGAAAGAAAGTAACACCTGTAAACAAAACCACAACACAGACCATCTCCCCAGGTGTTTCTAAAGACAAGGAGCTAATGAAGCTAAGACAGTAATTCACTTCAGAAATTCTGCAGTGCTCAGAATTAAGAGCACAGAGGACGGTGGATGGGGAATCAACTTCCCTTGTGTATTGTTCCTGAAGGGAATATTACCTACAAGCTGCCAGCAGACACTGCACTAGGCCTCTTGTCCCCAAGAATAATCCATTTGTTTTTTCTTTTGCCTCTACTTACTACAGACTACATCACTGCCAGGTCATAATTATCACCTGTTTTACAGTTAAATGTAAAATGTTATTCTCTCGACAAGAGTTTATGGAAAAGTATGTTTCACTTTGTATGTCATAAATATTGCCCCAGAGGAGGTACAAAACACCTTCAAACCTTCCTTACAACAAGCAGAGTCTCAGGTTGGTTTGTATAGTCTCAGTTGTTCACAAAGCATCTCTAGCACACCTACTGGTGGGGACACCGTTATAGTTTTTACTACACTTCAGTCAAAATTCCTGCTAAATTTTTATAACCACAAACCATTTGTCCAAGCTGGATTGCAAAACCAGGTACAATATGTCTACGTTTATCCAGGACAAACAGTGAAGCAGAAGGAAGTTTTGGCAGACGGTGGGTTTTCCCTCTTTGTGGTACTCATTTCACGTTGCAGGGATCAATGTAATGACAAGTAATCAGAGTAAGAGAGAACAGGCATATGGACACAAGGCTATTTTGTTTTCTTTCACTGTTAAGAAGCATGTTAATGCCACCTGTCCAACACCGCACACCAGCCTTATTCACAACTTCCAGTTACTTGAAGAAAAACCTCTAGTATAAGGCGTGTTACTTGCAAACGGCACCAGTGCTCTTTAAAAATAGAGGAAAATAAGCACAAAATTAAAACAGTTTTAAAGACATGAAAAGGGAAGGGACAAATGACAGGACACAGAACAGACTGCAGGGTTAAACAAAGTTTCAAGAAAAACAGGCAAAAGCTTAAAGATTATTTGATCCACACCAGAGGTTTGGGGTCAAGGGAAGAGGCTGAAGTAAAAAAAAAAAAAAGGCAAGCAAAATCAAAGAGGAGAGGAAGGAGCTGAATGGGAACTGATATTAAGGAAGATTAGAAAGAGAAATTTATAATGGAGAGAAAAATAGAACAAAAATCACTTTAAATTGATTAACTTTTGAACTTTACAAGAAAGTCTAATACTAGACTACTGTGTAATAAAAAGTTAAATTTTCATAGCTAAAATTTCAGAGAATTAATTATGCAGGATTATGAATGCCTGGAAGGAGGGAAACAGCTTCTGCTCTCAGCTGCATCCAAAAATAATCCAGGCGTAACTGGAAGTACAATAACATACTTCACAGACAGAATTCTTACTATCCTGTTGCATGTTGCCGCATTTGTATTTCTGTAATAAAAATGCAATTGTGGGGCCCATGAAATTAGTTTACAAGAGGTTTGATACTAATAACAACGAATCAATGAATTTTCTCCATTTTTGTGGTCACACATAAATAACGTTTATGCCACTGCCTCCCAAAAAAACAGGAACAAGCAAGAAATTTTCCTATGTAATCAGTAAAATTCAAGCTTGTAGCTATTATCTCTTTTCCAGGTGCTAGACTTCTCTGTTGCTGGCTGCAGATGCAACAATTATAGGAAAGTGCCAAAGGATAAGCAGAGGGAAAGTGATTAAGTTCCTAAAAACTGGCTGTTACTCTCTGTGTAAGTTATCATAAATGCAGAGAACGTGACCAAAATCTGCACATAGAAGTGCTGCTGCTATAACCTGTCACTTTCATGCCTTCCCCTCATGATAAACTGCCTAACTATATGTTTATACAGTACATAATGCCACTTAGAAAGAGATATAAAGTAAAAGTAAACTGACAAACGAAAGTTAATTCGAGTGACCTTTAAACCTCTTGGATCTATTCTACTTAATACTAAAGTATTAAGAGATTTCTAAGTAACTAATGCTAGCATATCATCAACATTTAACAACTACCATGAAGCAAAAAAAAGCCTGAATTGTGCTGTTCAACCAGATTTGCCATTAATTACCAAATACTTACAATCATCAGGCAAAACTTCCTTGAACTGCTCAAAATATGAATTCAACCGCACTAAGCTTTCCATGTTAATTATTTCTTGCAGTGAGGTGTCTCCAAACCTTTAAAAGATGAAGAAGGGAACAGTTAAGCCCAAGTAAAAGGTTCCTCCTCTTCTTTGAAACACTGGCATTTGGCAATATGACTACCAGAAAACGGTTTAAAGATTCATCCCATGAAATTCCTAACCATCCAAATGCCAAGTAAAGTGTAACAGAAAAGTGTTGTAGTGATTCATTACAGAAAAAGAAAATACTTAAGTGTGAGGTGAAAAGTGGGAAGGAAGGAGAAAGCAAAATCTTGTAGAAAATAGTACTTAAAATTCTTCGGCTTTTATGTATGTCTTTCAATATTAAATACCTCTCTGGTAAATCATTTCACCTAACTTCAAACTTTTAATAATGGATTTACTGGTTTAGTTCATAAGCTAATAGCAACTATAATATTAACAGATAGGATTGAGAACTTTGACCTCAGAAATATAAATAAGAAATATGGATCTAGGAGTAATAAACCATGAATGTAATAAAGATAGTCAACAGTGCCATCTCAGCTAATTATAGCTACATACATAGATACACACACAGAGTAGTGACATCTGTGTGTATAAAGGTGACATCTGTTAGTCACCTTTATAGGCAACAGAGGACAACTGTAACTGCTGGATAACTGGTAGTTATCCCCCACTATACACTCCATCCTGGTACCAAGGCTGCTGTCACAATATGCATGTGCCTGACCTCACTGGAGTTCTCCATTAGAGCACTTCTCTGTCAATGTATTCTTTACATAGCAGAGGGAAGCTCTGGTGGCTCCTCCCCTAGCAAGTATAATTATATAATTATATATTTCAGCTTTACGAGACCAGTGTTGCACTACTTAAGTACTGCAAGGAGATGTTAAAAACAAAGGACCACCTAGCCCATTATCCAGTTTTTTGACAGTGGCCAGAAGAGGGTGCAAGACCAAGAGGGCAAATACACAGCAATACTCAGAATGATTTCTCAGCCTTTAGTGATCTGTCACAGAGGTCTCAAGTCACAAGCAGCTCATGATACATTTCCTCATCTGTAAATTCACTTCTGAACCACATAAACCTGCACTAGACTCAAACCGATGAGGCAAGATGCTCCACAGCTACATGCCATATAAAGAAGGACCTCCTTTTGTTTGTTTTGCATTTGACAGCTTCATTCAGTATTCCCTTGTTTGTGTATGGGAGAAACTGAATCACTGGTAGTAATGCAACACTGTGATTCCATAGAGACATTCTTCCATCAGAACAGGAGATTGTAGAGCTGCCATTAAGGTTGAGCTTGCATGACTGAACACATACTTCTCTGCTAGGGTTTGCTGCTCATTGATTCCCACGTTGAAAAGAACAGGCTGAACCCTCAGTAACATGCCACTTTGAATCTCTCGCGGCAACAAATCAAACAAGGCGCTTGGCAAGGGGATCCTCACATTAAATCCATCACTGCAAATAAATAAACGGCCATTAGACATAAAGATCAAAAAGCTACATTCCAAGAGTGTATTATTTATGGAAAGAGGGATAACATCTAGAACATAATACAATTATTAAAAAAAAAATTTCAGTCAAAACTGAGGACTTTAAGGAACTGCCATAGCTTGTTCCCAATCAGAAAAGTTATTCCAGCTCAAAAGCAAGCCTGCACAACCTGTAGTGTTGATTTTACATTCTCATGGGCATTCCAATCAGATTTCCAGTTTCCTGAACAAAGCTGATTTCACACTACTCATTAATACTGCAGCTCTTCTACAACTTGGGTAGAAAAAGCCAAATTTTGTCATGTCCCCGTCTCCTAAAAGGTGTATTTGTTTTGCTTTGTTTACCGATTTCCAGTGATGACTGGCAGCATGTCAGTAGATGTATTTGATGTGGCCTGAGTTACTTTAAAGGTTACATTCCTCAAGTCCATGATTCCCAGACTCATGTCCTCCAGCATTGCCAGCTCCTCACCTAAATCATGGAAGAAAAGTGAATTGTAATCATTACTCATTACATACAACTTCCCTTTATCAATATGATGATGACTGTAGGTGATCACTGTCTTAAAGAAGGTCTATGGACAAAGAGGCTCCGGAGCCCAGGCCTTCACCTTGACCTACAGACTGCATACAGTGTCATGATTGACTTTATGAGTTTAGGAAACACCAATTATCTAGCACAGTCCAGACTACTGTTGTTCAAGTAGATTATATATGTTGATTTTCCAATTTAGATGATGCTAGTAAGTACTTCTCTGCATTGTCACAGACAGGATAACCTCTGTGTTGTAAAAATGTGTTGGAAAAGTTACAAAATATTCTGGATTTGTTCAGCAAAGCATTCCCTAACTGACATCCAGATGGCCGTTCAGACACAGGAGTGAAACATTTTGAACTAAGTACTTTCCCTTTTTGTATTCTCTCTTCAATCTTACTTTGTGCTGTAAGATTACAGAAGGCCAAGAAAATTCAAAAAGTGTATTTTGGGCACAGTTTCTCCCAGTTTACCAAAACTTTAATCCATTTCTTTTCTGAAAAAAAAAAAAAGAATAATCACTAGGATACGTTTTTCTTTTTAAAACCTTTGACATTATATTATAATGCAAGTACAATTTCTCTGTCAGAAGTAATCCAATGAAATGCAAAGCACTTCAGAGTTGTTAGCTAATTAAGTGCTCTAGATATAATCTGGTTTTGAATTTCAGTTTTCAAAATAATTTTGTAGCTGAGCTGCAGATTGTCCCAAACACTTGTATTCTGCTGTAGCCAATTTAATGCAGAATTTGCTAGCTCAACAGCTAATACCACCCACTTGCCCTGTGCCTTTACCATAAGTACTCAGCAGGCTCTCAAACTGCGCCAGCAAGCCAATGGTGTAGAGTTGTCTTAGAAATCCATCATCATGCAGGCAGTTCCTCAGCTTGATAATGAAACCACAGATGAGAGCAGTCAGCTGTAGGAGAGAAAACAGACAAAAGTGAAATTATTCAAGATGAAAAAGGCTCTTCAGCCCCAAAAAGAAACAATATCACATATAAAAAGTGCCATAAAATATGCCCGACTTATGCTCTTTTCCCTTAAATATCACTCTTCCTTAAAGCTGAAGAGAGACAACTGACCAACAAAAGCCCAAAACATTCATAAAATCAGATTTAGAGCACACTGCCTTCATCTTGCAAGCTCTGCCAAAATGGGACTGCTGTTGATCTTGTGTCTATTTTGTTTTCTGGATACAATCACTTGTACTAGGCTCTACAACTTACGAATTACAAAGAAGTCTCCTTGGAGAATTGTTTTAGTTACAGATGGAAAGCAACACGGGCTAGTTCCAGGCCTTGAATTTTGATAGTATGAATAAATTGAATAAATGATTTTTTTATTTTTTTTTTAATGTCATCTTAAGAAAGCTTTAAAATGCAGTATCTGCATTATGCAAAGATTCCAACTCTGGTGTTCCAACATATTCAGGACAACATGCTGAAGACCTAGTATACTGCAAGATCAGTACTAAGTTCTAAGATTAGTACTAGTCTTAAGCCACTGTCAACAGAGGAATTTCCCAGGTGATTGCCATATACTATGTAGACAGGTGTATGACTGTCACAGAATTAAATAGAAGGGAGTAAAGTTCTGTTTATAATGGGTAAACATATTCAAAGCACTGAGTTTTAAAATTATCTGCAATATGAAGTGGGTTTTGCACAGAAAACAGCCCTACCAAACAATGTCCAAGAGACAAGCTGTTTGAAATAAATGAATGAAATACTGCTTTCACAGGGAAGTAGACACACTACAGAAGTGTAGTGGGCAGAGGAAATGTGGAAGGTTTTTAGTGCAGACACCTGCTAATCAGTGAAAGCAAGCCCAGCAGGCCCAGAAACAGAACTTCTGGGAAAAAAACCCCAGCACTCATTTCTCTCCATGTAGCTCTCCTTAGCTACTGCAGGTCCTGTGGGTTTTCTCAATGCAGGAAACAACAAAAGGTAACTGAGGGAGTATACTTTCTTCTCATGGGCTTTTCCCCCCACCCCATCGCATCTGGTTTTAGTTTGGTGGCACTGGAAGGCAAAGGTTGTTTCTGTAGAAAGCAGTATATTTTCACTAGTTCTGGAATAATTCTTGTTTAAAATAGTGAATGTATATCCAAGGGGACACTTAAGTTATATATTGTCAAATGCATGTAAATGACCAGTAAAGACAGAATATTCTGTGAGAGGAGATTACAGTGTTAAACCTGAGAGTAGAACAGATACGAAAAATTCTTGTAACAGTAATCTTTTTGATTTGATATAAACCCCACCACATGTCAAAGTACAATCAAATCATCCGTATTTGCTTACGGTTTGGCAGAAGACAACATCCCTGCGATACTGAAGGCTCAGGCAGAGCCCTATTGTCGGAGCACTGTCCTGCATTAATAAAAAGACCATGGCTTTCTTTGCCTTGTCACTCATCATGGCTACACAGTCTGTGAGTGTTGTCAGCAAGGGATAAAGAGCTTCACTCCATTCACCTGGTTAAAAGAAAACAAAATAGCAGCACTCTAAGTACTTTATTTGAAATGAACAAACATGCATTAAGAAGAAACTTCATCTTGCAAGTTGTTGTTGTTGATAATTCACATTTAGGGTTAGTCTGATTTTGGCTGATGGTTACTCCTTGCTTGTTATTAATTAAGAAATCTTACAGAGTGGTTATCACATGAGGAAAATATGGAGAATTCTATTCTGCAAGGCTGTTATGACTTTCCCGACTGCGTAAGAGCTTCCAGATTTGTGCCCACGGAACAGGCTATACAATAGTTGATTTGGAAAGCATAACAGAAACATGAATATCTATATACACAAGTGTATATAACTGTGTGTGAGTGTTCAAACATACCCTTTCATAGTGTGTGCATAGACAGACACTACGGAGTCGATCATATGACAGAAATAGTGAACACCTGCTTAGCCATTTCTGTTAATGAGATTTCTCCCAAATATCTTGCCTTTGAATCTTTTGTGGACTCACATGTGTATCATTCAACTGCATCACCATCTTATTGATCCTTGTCTTACCTCAGTGAGGTAAGACAATGCTTATCTCCCATTTGCAGCATAGGAATAATAAGGCAGAGAGATGAAAAAATTCATGTAGGTACTCTTTTAAGTGTTCTCTGTCTGCTGAGTGACTTTGAAGGCTTAGCGCTAGCTAGCAAGAAACACTAAGTACAGTGATTACGATGGGAGTTAGCCAGATCCTTGGAAGTAGTTCAGACCTTGACTTCCACTGAAACACACAACATGCATCCCAGAGGGACTCTGTTCAAGGTCCTACACAGGAAGCACAGAAATGAAACTGGGTTACCAAAGTCCTATTTTAGTACACCAAACACTGTGCCCTTTCTCTTCCGTAAGAGATTGCTCTGCCTTAAAATGCCCCACTCGCTCAGGTTCTTTTCTTTCCTTCTTTCACCTTCTGCCTTAATCAACCACCAATTTAAAAAAAAAAACAAAACATTTCTATGACTGTATGAAAAGTTACTCAGATGCTATACCAAAATCCATTCTGGCTGCAACATAAAAAGAAAATAGGATAGTGTTTTGGTTTTGCCCTGCTTAAGTAAGGTAACATTGAAACAGAAGAACACTTCTCGTTTTAAGGGGAAGGACAGTGTGTTCTATTTCTAAAAAGCACTGGAGCTCACAAACAGAACACGCGCAACCCCCAGCCTGGTTGGCTGTAGGAACGACGCAATGTACAGATCAGAACCTGCATGAATGGGGCACTTCAAGCCCCTGAAAGGAAGTTGTTTGGGATTTTGACTCAAAGGCAGAACTAAGAGCTAGTAACGATGAACAGTTGTTTGATAAGTAGCCAATGAGGGGAACCTTGGAAGTCTGCTAACAGAAACATAACTGACAAGATTACCAAAACTATCCTTTTTGCTTTTGTTGTATGTGGTAGGTAGATAACCTAATAAACTACACAAAGGGGATGTTGTTTGGCTCTGTTCCATTGCCATTAAGAAAGAAAAAAGCAGGAGACATCAAAAGAACAGGCAAGGCATTACAGCTTGTCTTTTATATTCTATTAAGTATTTTCTCTCAAAATAAATCAGATGCCATAACATGGCCCCATGAACACTTAAAAAGCAAAACACAAATGATACAAACAGTGTTTCTCTTACTGCATTTAAGAGCTTTTCTATAAACAAATGAGAATGACAAAAAGAACTGAAAATGTCTTCCAGCACATCATTATCTCATTGCCTGGATATACATACGTGTATACAGTTATCTCAGTGTATAACTCATGTATATGAGTTATCTTAGGGGAGATTTAAATTATAGTGTGTCTAGCAGCACTTCGTTTGAAAGATATGCTTATCTGTGGTGATCACAAAGTACACTGGGGGTACACCAGCCTGTCTGAAGATAAAGCCATTGTTACATGTTTTTTTATTCCCAACACTCACATGCAGTGCAGTGGCCCATCCAGGGTAACAAGCAAAAACCCTCTGTGCTGTGTACTCTCTTGGTTTAAGATTTTGGCAATGATATAAACAAGCCCTTGTCAGTTTGCAAAATTCTAAATACCTTTCTGCTACCTTCTTTACAGAAGTGTCACTTGAGTTCTTTTAATTTTTTATTCAATGGTAGTTTCTGTCAACAGTAAACAGGAATAAAAGCAATTGCACTCCTAGGTTCAAATTAGGTTGGAACATTTCGCTGGCAGCATTTAAACAAATGTGAAAGGACTCTTAAGTGCTCACCTTTCACCTTGATTTCCCTGTCCTTCTGTCTTCCCCTCATTTTTTTTTCTAACAGAACTTTATTACTGAAAGCATATTTCTATCGAATCAATCAAGGGCACCTTCAAATACCATAAAGCACTAATTCTAACTAAATCTACTCTAAGCTCTGCTGTTATGTTCTATGATATGGCCAGAACTTTTATAAACTATTACTGACTCCACTGGATAGATCCATAGGTGGATGATTTGGCATAGGGCCTGAAACAACAGAGATGCAACAAGGTGTTACAGATTTAGAACAGCCGGAGACCTATTTCAAGCTAGCTGTTGGTATGTCTGGGCCACAAATCGTGCTTTTTTATCAGAGGTTTCTAGTTCATGTTAAAAGTTACTCTATTTAAAAACTGGCACTGTACAAACCAGCAGGATGCGTGTCATTTGCTTTAGGCTCTTTATATTGTACAGCAAGAGACAAATCCTGCAGTCTTCACTCAGACAGCTACAACTGACTTCTGGCTGGTAAATAAGGGCCAGATGTGGCCCCACATGTCTTTGCTACTTTTCTGATGACTGCTGCTGACCAAAGTCATACTTTAATACACACTTTGAAATGCAGCATTTTGAAAAGCGAGGAGGGGAGGGGGAGAGAGGGAGTAAGGGCAAGAGGGAAGAAGGAAGAGAGGAAGGGAGGGATGCTGGGAAGGCCTATGAGTTCACATAGTGGACCTTCTCTGACTATACACAAAAAACCCCTAAGTGTTGTGTTATGATAACCTAATACATAAAGCTGGTATAAATCAAGGATGTAATGTCAGCCAGGAAAAGTTTTTGCCTTTTTCCCCCCAAGAGCTTCTCTTCTACAGAGCAATGAAAATTGTATTAAAATAACTGTCCTCCAGAGCCTTGAAAAGGTATTTTTAGTCTTTTTATACTAAAAACTGCCTAGGACCCATAAATCAAAGCACTGGGCACCTGCAGTTGCCCTTGGTTTAGGTCACGGTTGCAAGGACTCATGATATCTAAAAGAGATAGACGGGGTGACCTGACTGCTTTTAGTTACTCCCACCTTAAAAATAAATATATAACATTCACTTATGCACCATATATCTTGCAGAAACTAAAGGGGTGTTCCAAGAATTAAAAACCTGGGAAGTCCTTTACTGATTAAAAACATTTTCTCAGTGATAGAAGGAAATGAGGTGGGTAGCTGAGAAGAACATTTATATGAACATATATGACTATATAATGTGAATATATATGAATATACTTTGTGAAGATGAAAATCATACCTGCACTGGGGCTTTATTTCCTATTGGTTTCACCAACAAACCCAGAAGCTCATGCTGAAACAGTTAAAAGACTGAACCTTCACTGAACTCAGATTAAACTACTCTCAAATGGCAGAAAATACAGCATCTAACTGGGAGAGAGTAGAATTAGAGAGGCATGTTATTCAGACCTTGGAAATGCAACACAACTGCGTGGAAGTACAAGAACAGAGGAAAGAAGGCTAACAATGGGATGAAAGTCTCCTGAGTAAGTTCTGCATTTTGAAACATTAGACTTGCAGTGCTCAACACTGCTTGGTTTGTACCCACAACAAAGATTTTTCCATCAGCATTGTTGACTGTTCCATGTTCTGTTCAAGTTCTCATTCAGAAAGGCCACCTCAACGGCACATATGAAAAGGTATGTCTGAAATGCCTGAAATGTCAGACTCCCACATACTTCAGTGACATTTGGAACAGGCCTCAAATCACTGTCACCTACAACAGTTTGCTAAAACACATCGACTGGAGAAACCGAAGAGACCAGGAACAAGTGCTCTTCCATACCTGGTATGAGAAGTTAACAGATACCCCCTTCCACTATTATTTAGGGAATAATAACTTCTCAAGATGCTTAGGTAACTCACGTGATATTGCAGAGCATTACCATTTCAATCTTAACACCAAGGCACTTGTTCAGTTGTCAATTATGAACAAACCCCTGCGATTTTCAGAAGAAGCAAAAGCCATGAATGCACATACCTGGGGCAGATTCTTCCGGAGTGGGGCTGCCATCTGCACAGAAATGGAGGGGCAACATGCATGATTAAGGAGCAGCAAAACAGTCTAAATATAAGCAACTCAAATGCTCAATGCCAGGGTTCTCAAACGCTTTCACTAAGTGAAGAGGAGCTCAGCAGAGATACCCCCTTGCCTGCGGGCACCGAGGGCATGGGCTGTCTCCTCCACTTCACTGTTTTTGATCAGAGAAATACCTGGATGGGGACTTGGAGGAAAGCCAGTACCTGCTAGCTCAGGGGATCTCTGTGGATTACCAGCAAGGGCACTGTCAACCCCCAGTGATCCACAGGCCACAATTTGAGAACCACTCATTGGTTTAGTGCAATTATAGAGTAAGCTGGCAGTGAGGCTGCTAAACAGAACAGCAAAAGATTAGCAGTAAGTTCAATGCACTTAACAGAAAATGACATTAAAGCACCCACAATGCAAGAGTAATAATGAAACAGTACTTTGCTATCTTGGACAAATTTCCATTATACAATTTCTGAGGTTGTTAACACAGCAACAGAATGTATATCAAGGGCTGAAACCTCACCAGTGAAGCTTGTGAGTGTTCCACACCCACTTCAGTGGGAGGAACAAGCCATCAGATGAAAATACACTATAGTGCAATGCAAACAGTAAAAGAAATTAATACATACACTCTGTTATAGCAAGTCTTGCATTAATGAAAAGTACTTTATTAAGCTAACAGGATTTAAACTTCTGTTGTTTATGTCTACAGTCACTAGTCAATAAATTATGAATTTGAAAATAGCAACAGAAAATATTAAGTTCAATTGTATGCATTAGGGCAATCAGCTGAGTTAGACAATCCGAGATAAAAACCTCTAAGTAAATTAAAACTCATCATGTTCATTAAAGAAGCTGTATGTCCCCATGCAATTTTAGTATTGAATACCTAAGCCTATAACAAAAATAAATTTTAAAATAATTTCTTAAGTCTCCCTTCTACTATTTCAGGCAGTATTTTCTTCACATTCATTTCTAGAGAGTTCCTCTAAAGTCCTTCAATAATATTATACTGCCTCTGTCTTACGAATTCTGGAACTGTCTTGGTTTGCTGGGTTTTACATTGCTTTCAAAAAACTTCTGGCCATTCGGTGTCATTTATTCAGAACTGGGAAATACTAATAGAAAAAAAGTGTTAGTTCTTTGAATACATGACAAGGAAAAACTTTAAAACGTTGTGATTCTGAACATAGGTAAAGGATATTCCTTGTCCCTCAATTATTCGCATGATCAGTCGTGGAAAGTAACGATGAGAAGGTATTTATAGAATCATAGAATGATTTGGGTTAGAAGAGACCTTTAAAGGTCATCTAATCCAATGCCCCCTACAATGAGCAGGAACAACTTCAACTACATCAGGTTGCTCAGAGTCCTGACCTTGAATGTTTCCAGGGATGGGGCATCCACAACTTCTCTGGTCAACCTGCTCCAGTACTTCAGGTCTCTCATTGTGAAAATTTCTTCCTTATATCTAGTCTAAATCTACTCTTTTAGTTTAAAACCATTTAACAGGCCAGGTTTGGTGTGGAGTCAAGGGAAGTAACTCTGGGAAAATTCCCACTGATTTCAGCAAAACCAGGTTTCTTCATAGTATTGAACTTGTTCCTCTGTCAAAAATACTGACCATTAATTAGGAACTACATCTGATGAGAATGTAATCAAATACTCAGCTTACAATAAACTTCCCAAGTGCAATTCAAATTACTCATTAAGACCTACAAACAATGTTTGTAGACCTACAAACCAGATTCTTAAGAAACAGGATTTCCTCTTCAGGATTTTTTAAGTTAAATTCACCCAACATTTGTTGGCAATCAGACTTCAGATCCAGTCTTTACACTTACAGAGTACTGGGAAATGGCAGCAAGCTTTTTAGCTTTAAAGCTTGCTACACATCTTAATTTAATGTTTTTGTCCCAGGTTCTGTGGATTAAATGGAAAGATTTTTCTTTTCCCCTACTTGGAGAAATAGGCAGGAAAGGTTATTGAAACTATAGGCACAAACAAAATCTTTGGTAGAAGTGCAGCTAATTCCAATTTTATGTGGCATATGTGTCAAGTTTCAAAGCAGATTTAAAAGAATGACTGAAACAAAATAAAATTATTGTTTTAAGATGCTTTCAGCATCAAACTTATCTTGGGAAAAGCTTTGGTGTCATCTGCCTCAGATTTTTCCTATTCTTTTTTATATCAAAATTCACAACTTTTAATCATTCATATGAAGTTGCATTTAAGTTTACTGATAAAACTCCCATGTAAATACATACAAAACTTCATGTAAACTAGCTAGCAAACAAAAACATTTAAAAGTATCAAACTGATAGAAGAAATTTAGTCAAAGATTAATAGAGAACACATTTGAAACAAGAACCAATTCTCCTGTTCCTTTATGATACACAAAAAAGTCAGTCTACTCTAGAAAAACATGGTTATTTAAGATACTAAGCAAATCATACGTCACACGTACAGTGCTACACAAAAATATATTAACATTTATTTTAACTTCCTTCTTGCTTTTTTTTTTTTTTCCCCTTAAAGTATTGCCTTCCACTGCAACATTAACAATGGGATGGACATGAAGTCACAGACACACGTAAGGGACAAAGGGCCATCAAACGATACGACAGGACAGGAAAAAGGAAATGAAAACACAAACTAATCTTACTAGAGCTTAGCTTGGCGAACCTGCTCTATTAAGAGGCCAAATCATACCGGCCACATGTAAAGAATGTAAGAATAAGCCAAATAAGTACATATGTAAATTAAATAATTCTGAAATCTAATGCATGGCTGCAAGACTGTCAACCTAAACTGATAAGGATATCTTCAACTCACCTGCTCATGGCATTATGCTGGATTCAATTCAGGACCTACTTTACCTGAAATTTTGATAGGATTTTTCCACTGAGAGCTTGCACTGCCAATTCCTATCTTCCAGCCACATGAGGTCTAACTAATTGAGTGCCTCAGCCCCACAGCTTTTGACAATTTCGGTTAAAAATTGCTTTAAACTCACGAAGGTTTATCCAAGTTCAGCTCAGTCTAATGGGACTGCTTGGCTCCCCTCCTATGCATTGGCAGTCCAGCTGGGACCGTTAGTGTTGCCAATAGCCCCTGCCCTTCTCTCATGTTTTATTTATCTTTTATAGAGGTTCGCTGTAATAAGCATTGATTGCTGCAAAGAAGCTGAAGCCAACAGGAAAGCTACCAGAGGTGGTGTCTGACACATGCTAACCCAACCACCTGTTTCACCAGCTTTAAACACTCAGCGTGAAAACCAAATGCCACTGGCGTCAATGTATTTGGCAATGACTTCAGTGGGATCAGGATTTCAGAATAAGTAATGGGCTTTGCAGCTTCCAGTACACCACCAGCCCTTTCTGCCTGACATCAATGCTTAACACCACCACTGAACTAAAAACACATGGAAGGATGTAACAGAGGCTTAGGGATGATGCCAGCGCACAGGGAGAGAGCAGCGGTGAGCAGCAGTGTCTGGCATACGCACTTGTCTTTCTGAGAGAATGGCATGCACAGGATGGTGTGGATGAAGGTGGTGAGGATGATGAAGGTGGTGAAGATGATGAGGTCTCATTTAACTCTTCTGGATTTATCCAGTAGGCACGAGTGTCCCGATTACCTTTCTTGCTAGTACAGCTGATGTCGCACTGGAAAACATCTTCACAGCTGTCACTCTGCAAGCGCTCCTTCTGGAGAAGTTTGTCCACTCTCTGTATAATACACTCCAGACTTTTGTCAACATTCAACCAAACTTTCTCCTTAAAAGAAAACATTCCTTTCTTAATTTAAAAAGAAAAGAGACATTGGGTAACAAATCCCTTGGCAATGTATTTCCTCCTGTGATTCTAGTCACAATTTCACTGCAAAGCTTCCTCTGGGCTATCATGCACATATGATTTCTGGATATATAAATAACATATACCAGCATGTCAAGAATATGTACCAACATGACCTGCGTGACAAATTGTAAAGCTGTTTTCTAAATAAATTTGCTGAGAAATTATTTGCACTATTATTCCAATTTCCAGCTGGCAATATTGTTTATTCTTGAAACTCATGTTTGACATAATAATCATATACAATCACACATGTCTTTTCCTATATAACTCAGTGAATAACAGATAAAATTACTGTATTGTATTAGTATCCAAATAGCTGAATTGGCTTTATTCATATCTCATTAGTCTGAGTTTGACTATAAGATGATGTATGCCGAAACAATTAAAACAAGGATCTATTTCCAAAATGAACTGGATCTCATTTAAAAATTGATATTTCACAACATTAGTAATTGTTTTCATTAATCTCAACTATTTTTGAGATTTCATTAACTTCTGTTTAGATTATACAATGACAGAATTTACACAGCCCAATTCTCCTTTCAATTGGCAGTGTGGTAAGGAAAACCATTTAAATACTTTGTTCAAACAGTATAAAAATGGTGTTCACAATTAAAACAGAGTTGGACTACAAGTTCTAAATATTTAGATAAGAATAAAAACCAGAAAGGCTGAATTGCATAGCTAATGCACACAAATTATGCTTTATTTTGGAAAACAGTAAATGCCCTTTGTAGTAGAGTCAGGTTTTGACTTTAAAAGCTATTTACTTTCCCTTGGAACTGACTTCAGAAAACCAAGGCACCTACTGTAATGATTTCCACTGTTTAGGAGACGTGGAAATATTATTAAGGCCTGTTTCTATCCCAATGCCAAGGAATAACTGAGCATAGGATAGAGGCAACGTCTTTGCTAGTTGACCAGTACCTCTAAACCACTCATCCTATGTGTATCTGGTGAGCAGCTACAGAGCTTATAAACAAAAGAACACAGCAACCGAAAACTAAAAAGAAGAAAATACTCATCACTCCACTAAGCAAACATACCCATTCCTCTTCATGCCAATCCACCTGCAGAGAAGATCGGCTATTTCTTCCTGTCCATCTGGCCACAAGTGTATCTTGATCATTCCTCAGCATCACTTGCTCCCCTTCTCCAGAGGTTGGAGATGCTTTTGAAGCTATGTAGTCTGGCCTTGCAGCATTCAGTCCATGTATTGAATTTGCCAACAACTTGCAGTCACAGACTGTAACAAGTTGCCGGGTCTAAAAAGCAATAAACCCCCCCATGTTTTAACAATTTTTCATTATTCCATAAACCATTTATTCTATATTCTTTCACAGGAAAAAAAAAAAAACAAACAAAAGAACTAGTATTCTGTAAAAGAAACTAACCATTGTTTAGGAGTCAGTAAGGTGCCTTTGCAATCATTTTACAGAATGGCCTTAAAAAGCAATATAGGACACCAAAACAAATGGTATTTTTCCAAAGTCTGTATTGCTATATTAGCCTTGCAATTGTTGAAAATCTCACTAAGAAATGTGCTGTTCATCCATATTTGCACTTTGCTTTTCATTTGACGAAAACTTAGAACAATGTGCAGACATTTTTATAGCCCACACAATAGTTGTGGGCTATATTAAAATACCAAAAACCATACTTAAACCTCAACCACCCTGTCTGAAATCGTAACAAGACATAAGAGGAGGAGTAAAAATATAACCCACTAATCAACGCAACTTGTTCCCTGTCTTATTTAGTGGTGTTGTATTAAAGAATTTCTCTAAGTTATGTGAATATGTAAAGTATCTGGCCTGTGTGTCTATCAAGAAAGAACAAACAAGCCCTTACTACATTATATATACACATTGTCCAGCTGTAGAAAATCCCACAGGTCAGTTATACACATTGTGCTCATTTAGAGCAAATATTATAATAAATAATACATTCACATGGGGTCACACTGTATTTTGCACTCTCCAAAGCTGTATGCATATCCCCTCCACTGGGACAATTGATGGCAAGCTGATTGGCTATTACTGCTGTTTAACAACCTTCAGATCTGCTTCAGGGATAGAAAACATCAGTATAATTGTATTTGGGTTTTTTTGTCCCTGTAAATAACATTGTGTTCAGTTGTGGGTCTAGTCTGGTTTCTGTTAGCATTCATCAAGAAATAACTGATTCACATCACTATAATTCAAACAAAGTCTGTGTCACTGTCATTCCTTATTTTGCCAGTGGAAAAATACAAAATTGTTTCATTAACTTTTGCCCAGTGGCTGCTGCTTGACAGATGACTTGGAGGAACATTACAAAACCCCAGGTAGTTATGGAGAAAATATCATAAAAGGAAGTGAAGAATGCACATTTCTGGAATATGATGAATGGAGGGAACCAGAGGACATTGCTCTCCACTGCACTCCCAAGAAGAGGTGAAGGGAAGAGTGTAAGAAGAGACAACCTAAATAAAAAGCAGCAAATTGTAAAGGCTGGTCTGATTTTGCTTTTTCTTTAGGCCTGTACATATTACAATACACTACTGAACAAGGTAAAATAGATGTTTCAGGAAAAACAACTTAAGATAGAGACAGAAAAAAAACCCAAACCACTGTGCTTCAGTGCGGAAATGCATTATTCTCCTACCTTGTCTGCTAGGATGGCAAGTGTTCTTTCAAGGCCATTAGCTGATCTATCCTTGGCAGCTCTTGAGAGCCTTTCTGCATAGTAACTGACTTGCGTTTTCAGGGTGTTGATTTGTGCAATAATTTCCTTTGCTCTGACAATGTCCTGTGGGATGTATATTATAGACTGGGAACCTGTTGAAGTGCTGAAAAAGAAAGACTGATGTTAGGGAGAAAACTGATCTAGAAGTACACACATTACAGTGGCATGCTGGGGAATTAATGGCAGACAACAAAAATTTACCTAAACTAGCAATCAACAGTGAAAGGCCAGTGGGCAATTGCACAGCAGGAACATGATCCTAGAGCCTTCTCTGCCTTTACTGAAAGCATTCAGGTGCAGATTTACTAATCCCTTATGCCAAGGGCCTGTGGGCAGTTTGTATACCAGAGGGACAGTTTTGCTGAGGAGAACGTGCGTGATAGATTTTGCCATCATGTACAGAATCACTGTTTGCAGAGACAGCTTGCCCCACTCTCCCTCTCCTTATCACACAGACACTACAGACACAGACACTTGACTAAGGCCTGGTTTACAAACCTATTTTATCACATATCTACTAGGACACCATGAAAAGAAAATCTGCACTCCTCCTAACACAGAAACGTCACCCAGATCCATAATGCAAACACTGCAGTATTAACAAAAAAATCCTTCTGTTAGTATATCCTTTCCTTTGTTGCAGGTCTGACTCAAGTTACACCAGCAAAAGCAATCTTATGATACATAAAACCAAAGTGTATCTCCAGACTAATCCAAGGATTCTGTCCTTGGTGTATCTTCTGTTAGCACACACTTCCTGTACTAAACTGGGGACATGATATAACTGTCTCTATTATAAACTTATCTGTAACAATATAAAGAAATACCAAATTTTGGGCTTTTCCAAACAGTTAAGGGTAATAAACTATAGTTTATGTTCTCTAAGTTTAGAGGTCTACAGAAGTCGCTTACAAGAAAGATGCCTGGACTCCCTCTGTAACTGCTGGAGAGACAATAGCACTTCTGAAGGGTGATTTAATCCTACCTGAGAAGAACCTTTCACAAAAGCTGTCTTTTAGCTTAGAAAATTACTTTAAACTGAAGTTGTGCTCTAGTTAACTATTTGGAACCAAACCACCACTACTGTCTTTGCCAGGCAATACGCTGGTTTTTTCCTCCCAGTAGGGAAGTTATAAAGATGAGGCCTTTACATCAGCTCCAGCTGTAACAAGTGTGATGTCCTTTCATGACATGGCATCAAGCATGAGGTGACACCAATGGTATATTATCTTAGTTTTATTCATTTTTTTCCAATCATGAATGGCTTTGCCATAGTGACAGCAGAGAATAACTTACTGCTTGTACCAGTCTTGGCACTGTTCAATTGACACAGTTACAAGGCTACATAGAGAGGAGTTTCTCTTCCAGGCACAGTTACCTCAGATTATGACCTCTGAGGAGTAGGATTTCCTCTACTACTCCTAGAGCAATGCTGTTAATTTCCGTAGCGTATCTGTGAGATAAGACATGAGGGTTGCGTGGGGCACGCTTTAAAATCATTGCCACAAATGCCAATTTGTGTCCTTAACTGATACTAAGGCAAGGGGGAAGCTTAATCTCAGTATCTGTCTGAGCTCCATTACAAGAAAAGATGAGGATTTGCTCTCAAAAGATATAATGCAGAAGTGATTCCTCAAAGTTTCCTTATTTGTGTCCCTCTGGTCATTCACCTGAGTGAAGCAGAGAACCACCACTCCCCAGTACTGCTACACCATACAGCAAATTCATCTCACCTTTTAGGACTTGTCATGTACATGATTTGTGCTCTCTATTGACTGGTGATGTTAGTAACAATTCCTCTGAGCAATTTCTTTCCACGACAGTGTAGTTAACATGCATAAAGACGTATTTGGCAGGAAAGGCCATGCAGCATATTGAGATCTGATTTAGAGTTATTACATTTTTAATCACAAACATTTGCTGGGATGATCGGGGGGAAAATTTATGGTGTAAAATTCACATACATTTACTTTCCAACCTGCAATTGCTTTTTCAAATGAACAGCTCTCATTGTACTATATCAGCAAACTGTAACACAACCGTAAAGTCCCAGTTAATTAGGGGTTCAACCTTTAACACGAGTTATTTAGAGCAGAACTTCTGCACTGTTGAACCACCAAGTAATGTTTCCTTTTCATAGCACTGAACACCACAACATGAAGACAAATAAACAGAATTTAAGTGAAAATGTTTAAATGAAGACATGGGTTACAAAAATATAAACCATGCCCAATCTATCACCATAAAAATACATAGAGTTATCTTTATTATCTTCCACCTCTGGTAGAAAGTTTCTCTCTCCAGGTAGTTTTCACTGGAAATAACAGAGGAAAAGATATAAAATTGTTTTCTGATCCACAGTTTTCTGACTTATGACTGGAGAGAGTCAGCAAGCTTGCTGTTCATTACAAACAAACATTGCAGATGAAATGAAATTCATTCACACATCATGTTCTACAAAGCAGCTACAATTACTTAGGCACAATTAGGGATGCCATGACGCATGACATTAAAAAGCCCTGCACACTTTAAAACACACCAGATCTCTGCCAAAAAAAAAAGAAAAAAGAGGAAGGAAAAGAAAAATTAAACAACCCAAAGAACAGAAACCCTCTCTACAGAACTCTCAGAAACAGAAAACTCACCAACACTCCTCATAACTGCTAAAAAAACAAAAAACCAAAATAAAATTAGCAGATTGTTAGCAAATACCAAAGCAGAAAACAAAACAAATGATGTTTGGGGAAATAACTTATTTGAGTCATCTTTTCAACAAGGCGGGTACATAATGATTAAACTTGTAAGCAAAGAACCACAGATTGCCAGATGCCCATGTGTTGTTCTGGGGAAATGTGGATGCACCAAGCACAGTTTTGCCAATGAAAAGAGAAAGAACTGAATGATATCTATGTAACAGTGCAACTGAGGAGATGGATCTCAGTTCTACTATACTGACTTTTATGATAACATAGAAGTACTTGAAAGAAAATATAATCTTCAATTACTTCATGGACCCGGAAGTAGCAATTCTGTAAAGCTTAGAGGAAAGGTACTGAATAGAAATTAAGCTCTTTGACCAGCTTAGTTACTGGGTGGGGGAAAGGGAACTTAGATATTGCAGGAGTAAGGCCCACTTCAGTGCTAAGCTCACAGAAGGATTTTATTGCAGAAAGCAATTTCAGTGGTATCATAAAGAATAGTATACCAGTGCTTCCAGGTTTACAGCTTCCTGCATATTTTTGCACCTATCTTTCTATCAGTACATATCTGATTGATGTGCACAGGATGCTGCTATTTACTTCTCTGCTGCCAAAATTAATTCTACAGTTGGCAGAGCCTGGTTCTCATGTTGCTCCCTCCTCCCCTCAGCTCCAAATCCTACAAATCCTTTCTTTGGAAGGGCATTATCAAAGTCTCCTTTTTCCTGTCTACAATGTCCTTGTCCTGCTGCTCTCATTGTTCCTTAAATTCTCCATGCTGCAGCACAAGCACTGCAGACGCAGACAGCATTAGCTCTTCCTTGGGAGCATATCCCTTCAGCATATGTGGCCTTCCCAATTTCTGCCCCTTCCTCTAGCACATATGGTTGCACTTCCATAGAGGTCACTAGAAAGTCCCTGAAGACAGGACTGTGGAGCTCAAGTATCCTGCCTGCAGAGCAGAGTGAGGCCAGATTCAGAAGCCTAATCTGTGCATAAACCTTAAACCTTTAGGTAGTGCAGAAAAGCCTTCAGCAGTAGTCCCAGAACTACATCCAAGTTGTAGAAAGGGAATTTGCCTGTAGGGCACAGCTGTACTGTACTAAAAAGAGTTCAGTGACAGAATTTTGAAGCTATGAGAAGGCTGAAAGTCTCCTGAAAATAATGGGTTGAAAGCATGATGTAGTGCTGCTGAGGATGTTCTACAGACAAATTTTCTAATCCACAATTAAACAGAACCCAATACCTAAAACAGCTAAACTAAATGAACCAACGAGTATTTGGGAAAATTAATGAGTTCACTAAAAGGACTATCAGAAAGGGCCCATCAGTAAACAAACAAATAGAATAAATACGGTAGTATAAGGGGGAAACTGTTTTCCCTCTCCTTCTTGGGAACAAAATAGGGAATAATCTTTACATTGTATAGTAGAACTATTGAATGAAGTGCAACAAAACCCTAGAATGAAGTGATTTTCCAAATCACTGAGCGTGGAGCAGAAGGAAAAGTCACAATAACAGTTGACACAACATTTCTACTTACTGTTTCTTTGCCTCTTCAAATTTATGCAGCTTTTTCCGCAAGCCACCTGATTTAAAGCCTTGACAATGAGCTGCTGGTGCTCCTATGGTGACTATGTCGTAGTTCTGATCTGGGATGGACAAAAAGGACTTACAGATGAAAGCCTGTAATCTTTAATGTGGACAAACAATTGTGGAAATTCAAGAACTACTGTGAAAATAATTTTTGTAAAACTTTCTGCCTGTGTTTTGAAGGACATGGAAAACTGAATTGGTTTAGATGTCCTGGAAATCCATCAGGTACTTTTGAGGTGAAAGAACCATACTTGAATGCAGGTCCTCTGTTTCTTTATCTAGAAGACTGACAGTGAAAAAGAAGCCTTGAACGCTAGTCTTTATACAAAGACTGCCGTTACTGGAATCCCTCATATGGATACATGGGACAAGTGTGTGCCCCCTGGTTAGTAAGAATTACTGTTAAAAGAAGGGAAGATTAGGTTCTGTATGAAGAAACAATCTTGATGTGAACAAGCTGGTGTGATTTTGCATAAGTGGTTCCAGAGACAAAGCACACAAGCTTGACAAGCAACAAATCAGAACCTCTGCTATTCTGCTACAATTCAAAATGACTGGAAGAGATATAGCACCTTAACCCAATACGTTCCTTTATATAAAGGCTGACTTGTGTCATCTAGGGTACAGTTAACTCCAGAATCTAGTTTTGCCACCTGTGTAATAGCAATAATTATACTTACACCTCTTCTTTTGGAGAGATTTGAAATCTGAGGATAGAAGATGCTACAGAAATGTCAATTAGCACCAGTACTAGAGAGCAGTAGTTTGTAGAAATTTGGTTATATGGTTGAGGATGGAAATGGAGAAAGAAAAAAAAAAATGGAGAGAAAAGTATCAGAATAAGATAAAGAAAGAGAGAAAGAAACAAATACCTGATCCTCCATCATCCTGGACTCTCATTCTCTGTATATGTAAATTCGTAGGAACAAATTCCAATTTTTTATCAGCTTTCAAGCTACTGGCTTTAAATGATGGACCTGAGAAATGCAGGAGAAAAGTAAGCACAAAACCCCTCTGCTTCTGCTTATGCTAAAACATTCAAGGAGCGTCATTCACCATTTGCTACGTGCTAAAAGTAAAGCAGAGAAAAGAAAGAAAAAAGATATATCTTTCTGTAACATTTCACAATTGTTCTCTACTTTCAGGGTAAAATAAGAGAATGAATAAAGCAGACAAACAGATCCCTAGCAAACTCACAATGGATGTTAATGAAGAAATTTAATAACAGTGTTTTTTACTTATCAAACTAAAACATTCTGGGTTGCCAGTTTCAGAGAAGCACTAACAACCATGGCTGAGAATTACCACATTATTATGAAAAAGAAATCACCTTTATACTGATGCAGATCAGTTAGATTTTCCTGATAAGTTAAAATAATTGTTTGGTACTGAGTAACTATTTGTCGACGAAGGCTTTCCCAACAAGGAGACAGTTCTCCCAGTTCTTCTAGTTCACAAACCCTAGGGGGAGGAAAGAAAAGGAAAATAGAGAGGTGTTCAGCTCCATAGTCCTCTTGACCAATGGGTTTCACATTGTACCAATGTAGCATCATCCTCTGCTGACACATTACCAATTCACTCTGGCCTAACCTACTCACTAGACTGGGAATGCTTCCAAAAATAAGTCCCAAAGAACAACCGTTGAGCTCTACTCACAGGTCCCTCACAGGAAGAATACACTGAGTTCCCCTCAGCAGACCCAGGTGTTGGTCAAAACAAAAGCTTCCTACCTTTCTGCAGGAGCAACCAAACTATATGATGATTTGCAAACGATAGGCACTGTCATCATGTCAGGTGACCTGGGACAATGAGGGACCTTTTTAGGCCACTCCACTGAACCTCTGTGCCTCCCAAAGTAAATCAGGATTCTGACAGGTTAGGTAGGAGGTTAGCATGTATCTGACATTAAATACAAGGAGTATTTGCCCTGGACAAGGTATCTACACAACAGTTTTCAAGGCCAGGCCAGGAAGGCATTAATATGGGTTTGGAGAGACAACAGATGATCCTGCAGGTTTTTTTGCAGTTCTCTCAGTATCCCAAATCCACAGGTTTAATCAATTGTCTGTATATTGTTTAAGACAGCATTTCATGGAACAATTCCTGCTCCACAATATTTAGGATATTACCAAAAGAAAGCAAATTTCCAAGAAAAACTTTGGACTGATCAGCCAATAGGCAACATTGTAAACTATATCTATCAGTGACTTCTAGTTCCACCTTGTAAACTGCTTCAGCATAAGATGCTATTATGACTACCTTGACAAACTCCCTGCTCAAAACTAACTATGCATCTGAGTCCAGGTCTTCCTGAAGTAAATTCATACCTTAACACTTCAAGTTTACTTGTTTGTCCCACAGGGCTGAGACAGCAGAGGATGTGTCTGCCATAAATAATTAGGTGGTCAAAATATCCCCCTGGTTAGATGTTTCCTTTCAAAGAGCTCTGGCCCAGAAGAGCTTTATGTAAGAGGCAGCAGCTGTAATTATCCAAGGACATTTTAAAAGTCACCAGGATGTTAAGACAGAAGCAGCTGTGCTTGTATAGCTGAATTCCTCTGGGCTGCAGTACAGAGCGTAGAGAAAATAAGAGTGCTTGGCCAAATCTGAGAGATTCTATGACTACGAAGTGTGGCTGTGCATGTCGTAGAGGGTCACCTCAACTGAACAGGGAGAAGTGAGTCTTTCTCTTCAATTACATGAAAGTCATATTTACCTTTGAGCCAAGTAATTCAGCACATACAAAGTGGTACCAGCAATCACCTGGGCTGTTATTAACCCATAACTGTACAAAATATGTAACCAATCTGCACAATTTTAGCAAAAGCCTCTGAAGAGTCACATTCCGTGGCTAATTATCTTAAGAAACTTCACTGTCCACAGCCTTACAGAAAGCCACATCTTTTTTCCCCATTCATCCTAAATCCTCCTTTTATTATCTTCAAGTCCTTAAAATACATCCATCATAGATGGCACCTTATGGATAATCTTGCCAACTCTTTAGATTCTTATAGCTATACTTCAAAATGAATAGGTGGTTTTAAATGTACTGTCAGGAAAGCTGTAGAGAAACAAAGATATAAAACAAACAATTAACAACCCATGTCTAAATGTGTAATGGTATATCCCAAGCCTTCTCCATCAAGGTTGTAGCAGGACAACTAAACAAGATACAGCATTCACTCTCTAGAGTCTAATATCTGACTACACTGAGAGAGCTGGGGTTGTTCAGCCTGGGGAAGAGAAGGCTCCAGGGAGACCTTCGAGCAGCTTCTAGAGCCTAAAGGGGGCCTACAAGAAAGCTGGAGAGGAGAGGGACTTTTTACAAGGGCATGTAGTGACAGGACAGGGGGGAATGGCTTTGAACTAACAGAGGGGAGATATAGATTAGATATTAGAAAAAATTCTTCACTGTGAGGGTGCTGAGGCCCTGGCACAGGTTGCCCAGAGGAGCTGTGGCTGCCCCATCCCTGGCAGTGTTCAAGGCCAGGTTGGACGGGGCTTGGAGCAACCTGCTCTAGTGGAAGGGGTCCCCGCCTGTGGCAAGGGAGGTGGGACTAGCTGACCTTTAAGGTCCCTTCCAACCCAAACCGTTCTATGATTCTATAATATAGAGGATTATATATATAAAAAGATCATATATTCTAATGTTATGGACCTAATATAGTCACATGAATATGGAATGTATTTTCTGTGGCCTTAACAATACTTTTGTGAGAGGAACAGATAACCCCTAAATGCAGCTAACTGCAATATGATCCTAAGGGTTCACTATTCCAACAATGCCTCTGTATGTTCACATTACTATATACTCAAGCCCAAAGTCTATACTCTGACATGAAATCTTAATTCACTGTAACTGTACAGTCAGCAACTTGCTGCTTCTACTATTTTTTCTTCAGTGCCTCTGTGCATTAACACAGATATATTTCTTGGTAACTCAATAACAGCCATACCACTGCTGTATGTAAACTGGCCTGAACTTACCTTGCAGCATCTTCTTCTAGAAGAAGCTTCACAAATTGCCTAGGGATGTGTAGTGACAGGATGCTCTCAGCCATCTGCTCCAAGATTCTCAAGTGGTTCCCATCAGTGGTTGGAAAGCGATACATTCGGCAAATGGCGCCACCAAACACTGAAGAATTAAAATCACGTTATTTAAGTTTAAAGTGTAAAAAGCCTTTCCTTTTCTAAGGTAAACAGCTTCAATTCACTAATGTGCTGTAACACACTGCTGTAAGGATCTGGTTAAAGCAGGCATCAGTTCTAACTTTTCCAAGCATGGTCAGTCTGCAATGACCATTCTTCCAGTGTGCAGGAAAAGTCTCCAAATGATTTAAAACTCTAGGAAGGAAATGAAATACATATTCAACTTTTGAAATACTTGAATTTATTTTTTTTTTAATGTAGTGTGCATTTTTACCTCATATATCATTTACTGGAAAACTAACCTTTCTTCAAGATTTTTTTTTAAAGCAACCACTTTCCTCTGTCTTTTCCCTCACCCCTGAAGAAGAGACTAGCAAATTGCTTGGAAAATTTTATACTACAGTCAACTTAATGACAGAAGTTTGCTTCTGCTGGTTTTACTCTACAAAGCAGTGCAAATGATAAAATAATTTATTCTTGTATGACCCTCAAAGGGATGCTCAATCAGCAGCCTGTTCCTATTCAAATAAAACATCTGCTTAAACACCCTGGGGCCACAGGCAAACAGCAAGAGATTAGCTTTTACTGATGCCCAAAGCTTACTTGTTACAGCACATAGTAGCTTACCAGATTTCAGTAGTGCATCTTTCCGTAACGAAGCATATTTGGATCTGATTCCTAACGATTCTGTTAAGCTTTCATCAACTGGCAACACAGTCTAAAGAAAGAGAAAATCCAGAATAGTAAAGAATAAAACCTCAGTGTCTGGGCAATATGCCTGTGATGACCCTATTTACACAGACTCGAAAGGACTATTCAATGCAACACATGGTTAAAATAAATATAGCATAGCTCCAGAGTCCTTAAAGGTACTGCACCAACATATGTAGCTACAGCTACAAAGTGATACTAATGCACATTGTGACTGTGATACCCAGATAGGAGTGCAACTATCACCAGGATATTCAGAACACAGGGTTTATAGAATTAAACATATGTCTAAGCTGAGAAAGCACTATAAATATCTGCTCTCAGACAAATATTTGGGGGATCTGAAAAAAAAAATAATAAAAAATCCAGTATTCAAGTAACTTGTTCAGTTTTACTAAAACCTTTTAAGTTGCCTGTAGAAATTCTGGAAATTTCCTGAGCATCCCCATTACAGCTTGCTTAACGCCACTTTCCAATTCACAACACGAAGTAGAATAGCGCATCTTTGTGAAACTGGTTATCAATGTACCAAGTGCACCAGCGTACAGTACTGCAAGCTTATTCTGATGAAAGGCATGAGTACTTGAAGCTATAGCCTAATCACTGTAAATTAAAATTTTCCCCAAGACTTTCAGCCCCAAACATGAAGCACCAAGAGATCTCCAAAATACAAAACCGTATCATCACCATTCAGCTGCCATTTACAGTATTTTGAAATGGTAAAGCCCTACTAAACAAAGATGGATGGGAAAGCTGACAGCAGATGTCAACCCAGCTTATTTCAGTGCTGGCAATCTGCATTTTTCTGAACTTGACACAATGCTCATACTCACCCTTCCATTAATTGTATCAGGTGACCTTGTCACTGGAGGCCTTTGGTCAGTTTTTTCCTCCATTTGCCATCCAATAACTGTAATGTTACCTACACGGTCACTTTCAGCCGACCTGCAACAAACACTCTGCGTTGAGATTTTTTTGGAGGTGGACCTGTTTATTGACAAGGGAACACTTATAAAAGGCTATTAATCTTCAAACTTAATGAACATTTTAAATAGGAAGCCTTTCAACTTCATTTTACATATTTTTATAATGCATTGTTCCAACAGGAAAATGCTCTCCTCATTCTGCAGGGATGCTGTACAGACCTCCTAATTGAAGGCAACCTAACTCCTATGTTATTATTATAACATAGATTTTAATTGTATTTTAAGATTGTTGTTTACATGTAAAAATATGCTGGGACAATTAACAAAAAAAGAAAGAGTCTCTGGAACAGACAATAGTGGGAAGGCAAAAAAATAAGCACACGGGATAACTACAAGAAAAGGTTTATGCAACATGTTTATAGATAATGCTCAGCATCCAGCTTATACATCTGAGGGGTAACATGACAATGAGAAGGCAAGCTTGTATTCACACACTTTGATAATCAGAACATACTTGATATCAAAACAAATAGAGTTTAATAAAGTCCATTTTCAACTTAGTCATGAAAGAACAAACCTAGTAGAATAACCTCATCTAACACACAACCATTAAACTCCTGCCATCACATTCCTCTTTCTCACTCCCCCAAAACACACTCATCTTCACACCTATGATAAATTTTACCCAACATCATACTCTTCATGCCTTTTCTGACTTGTTCATCTACTCCTCCCTGTTAAAGCATATAATTTTAAATGTTTAACACTTAAATCACGTCGAATAATTTTTTCTTTACAACTCATTGTGAAAATGCTGAAAACCTTACCCATCTCTTCTCTTAGCAAGAAAAGCTTTGCCCATGTTTTGTTAGTTGTGTCTGGGCTAAGAAATTTCTGCAAGTTTATGAGAGTAACTGTTTCTAGTGCTGATTATGCAGATATTACCAACACCATCTTCCTCAGTCTTTCTGATTATACTTCCCCCTTTCAACTGACTTCCCCTTGACTTCTCTAACATGGACACCTGTCCTACTTTTAACACATACTACAATGTGCCTTTAGACATCAGAGCTCTCCTTCCTTAATCTCACTTTGTTTTCTTCATTCTTCCCCAACCCTCTACTTAACTGCATCCTACACTGGCTTTCAAGAGTGTGGTTTGATTCCTATGATTAGAACTACTACCTTAAGGATTGGTATGATACTCATACTCTCTTTTTCATCCTCTCCTGAGTCATGTTCCTTCCGCGAAAGCTTCCGATACGAATTAAACTAGAAAATACATCAATTGATGTTGTTGTAATGTGACTCTTTCTATTCCTAGTGCATTATATTGATAAATACACTATTTAGCAACAAATACACAATTTAGCAACAGGTGTTGAATTTAGTAGGTGTTGAATTAGAGCCTAGATTTACTAAGCCGAGGTATTCCAAACAACTAAGATAACTCTCTCTTTCAATGGGTTTCATTCTTCCCATCACAGGCTCTTTATACATCAGCACAGTCAAAAATGGTCTATTTTGCCACTCTTCACAGACATGTATGCTCAGGTGATAGGAAGAAACGCACAAAAAAGGAATTGGTCTTGACAATACTTTCTTGAACTGGAGAACTAGAACCAATGTCTAACATTATTCACCATGTTGGAAAGGTCTTGTTCTGATTATCATGCAATATAAAATAGGCTTTTTTGTAATAGTGGCCTAGAACTAAAAACCCCAAACAAACAAAAGATTTTCTTCATATCTCAAAGTTTTCATCACATCTTAAGCACGCTTTCAAGAATTAAGAATTAATTCATAAATGGAGGAGAATATTACAAACCTTAGTGTTAAGTGCAACCTGTGATTCTTCTCCTGAAGAAGTTCTTTTACAGTGAACATCCCAGAACCCAACAAATACATCTGAAAGAAGATGAGCACCAGAATTTAATTTTACAATGAGCAAAGGCTTTGTCCACAGCACTGAAGCCCAAAATACAACTACTATGCACAAAAGACTGAGAACAAAAATATAATTACATATGCCTATACATAACTAATTAAAACTCTAAAATTTAATAAATGTGGTAATTTATTAAAAATCCTTTTTCTACTGGAAGACAATAAGCATTTTTCTTTCTCTAGGATTTGAGGGGAGGTACCTCAATATATACAAGTTTAGGCCCAGCAATAAAGGAACAGTGAAAGCAATGGCTCAACAGTGCTCAGACTGACTAGGTCTACATTCATAGTCCCTCCCTGACCCAAACCTGGCTCCTCCTGAAGAACTTACCTCCTCCTTTTTCCCTAGGAAGCACTGTACAGAGAGGGACAGCTGTCCTGCCCCTAAGGAAGCCCACAGGGGGCCTGAAACTGTATTTTGGGCAACAGTCTGAAAATAAATGGCCTGGGTTGCGCTCAGATCTAAATAGTTACATGGGAGGGCTGGCACTTACTTAAACTTTTCTCAGCAAGGAAACAAATCTTACCCCTGAACAAAATCACTAAGGTATCAGGGTAGGACAATTTATGGAATTTAGCAGCTCTGTTAAGGACTGTTTCATCCTGGGCCCAACAATCTCAACATTTTGGCAGAGGTTAGAGGCCTCAGCTAGAGGTGTTGGGTCCCATTCATTATCTAGTTCAGTAAAGAGGTCCACAACATAAGAGAACAACTGACAGGACCTCTTAATATCAGTGGTCCCCAAACTTGCTGCAGACAAGCCTCATTTGAGAAAACCAGCAATGCCCTCCATTCTGCCACGGCATTTGTCCCTCCTTCCCCTACACATCTTGCTCTCTCCAGGATCAATGCTGCTACGCCATTTTGCTTTCTTCCACAAAACCTACTAGTTTTATCGCCTTGCCTCTTACTTCCTTGCTCCACACTGACAGGGCAAGCAATGGAATAAAGAAAACTTACTGTTCCCTGAGATCTATCTTTGACGTCGTACACAGACAGTTTGATTTGTGTCATTTGATTGATAAGAGAGTCTTGGAAAAAGGCAATGCTGCTTAGAAAGATTGGATTACTTGTTCCCTGTAATCATAAACAGTAAAGGCAAAAATTAATGCAAGGTGGTATTTGTTAGGAAGAAATGCTTCCTGTGTTAGCTTCAATTTTAAATCCAATCCACCGGTACCTCACCACTTACCTCAATAATTTCTGTCTGTGCATGCTTCGTCCAGAATGCCTGGGGAGGTGTCGTTACACTCACTGCTACAAAACTATTTGGTTTTCGATCTAGCGATGGAGTTAGCAGCTCACTGCAAGCTTTAGGTATGCAATAGATAAATAAATTTAGATTCAGGCTCTTTTTCATATTGCTGTAAGACTCTACATTTTCAGAAAAGCATATTACATACCCTGAGCAATAAACCTATGGAGGGCCTAATATTCCTTCTACCACCACATATAAAGGCAGACATCACTCACCTTTGTGCACAAAAACATTAAATGTGCAATCAGATCAGTCTGGCTCCAAGCTGTGGGGCTGTAATTTAAACTTGTTCTCTTCTAACACCTGCCTATCCACCCCCTGGCACAGCCTATTAGAAGAGCGTACAAACACAGGTTTTCCTCTGGGAATCTCATGAGCATGGCTACATTTGATTTGAAGTCACGCTCCATTAAGCCCATTACCAAACGGCATTTTGCCACAGAGAACCAATAGAAGTGCTTAAACATTGATCTAGCAGCTCTACTATGAGGAGAACTAGCTTGTAATTGTAAAAGGACAGAAATTTATTTACTCTAAAATGTTATTGTGAGTTTAACTGCTGGGAAGTGGCTATGGTGAATAGGAAATAACTACCAAAAATCTCAGTGAGTGACTCTATGCAATTACACTAAACTTCAGAGCCAAATTCTATCTAGCTAGATAAAAGTAACTACAGCATGGTCTGACTCTAGGACCACCAGCTAGGTATAGAATATTCTATAGAATATATTCTGACATTTACCTGGGCAAGTAAAATGTTTAAATGTACACTAACCCGGTTTGCAGTTCTTGATAGTTTTAATTTATCTGAAAATATCTGAAGTACCTTACTCAGCTCTAATTCTTCAGATTCATAATGTGATTACATCTGTGAAAATGTTCTCATTTCTCATTTCAAACATACTGTTAAGAGCATAACCTTCCAAACATTAGTCCACTGGTAGGCCAAGAAAACCAGGCTGCACTTGAAAATGTGGACTGAATTTTCATGAAGAAAATATTTTTCACTTATTCTTCAAGTGAGGTGAGTCAATGCACAAGCTTCTCGTCCAAATTTAACCATCTAAGAAATTAGGCCACTTCTGCATGTCGCGTTATCACTTGATAACAAAGGCCACAGTAAAGTGGCTGATATACTGTGATTTATCTGAAGTGCTGATATAGTGAGACTGAAGACAGCTTCATAGTACCTTCACATAAACAAATCAAACATTAAAAAATAACATTCATATAGCAAATATTTTAAATTTTATAGGACAGATGTTTTAATTACAGACTTTTAAGAACTGCTGGCTGCTTATCAAAAGATACTGTTCAGGCAGCAAGAAATCTATACCACATTTCCATAAGTATCAAAGTTTCAATCCTTACTACATGAAAAGCGCTTCAAAATCAACAACAAAACCACACACATACTCTATAGCATGTATCAGCAAACTTAGCATAAAAATCACTAAGCCTACCTAAACTGAACTCTAAAATCGGCTCATCTGGATCCTGAATGTTTCCTGTAAATCAGAAAAATTAACACAAGGTTAGCCAAACACTGCTGTCATGTGAATCCTTTCCAGAAGTTGCAGTCACACACAGAAAGAAATTCAATTTATAGGAAAAAAATTAGTATTTTTAATTGAATGAGCCATGACTGGTATTTAAAATATTTATTAGCTAATCTTAGGTATCTAAAAATATTTGAAAAACCTGAGATTATCATCGCATTTTATAAAACATGTTAAAATATGTAGAACTATTGTTATGGAATATGGGAATATAACATGCTGAATGTCAGTAGAAAACAACAGGATTAAAGCCACTTAGTGTCTGAGCCACAATTTACTCCAAATTACTAAATCAGCTACATCTCCTCTGTGATCAGTAAATAGGGAAAAGTTTGAAAGTACCCGTCTCTCTCACTAATAAGAGAAGGCCTCTGGGGGTTACAATCCTAATTTACTCACCATAAAAGGGAAAAAATTCTCAGCTCCCTCAACTCTCTTGAAAATTTTATACAATGTCAAACAAGGAGGTTGTCAAGACTCTTCCTAGACCTTGGCATTCTTTTATTGTTTTCTCCCTGTTGGTTATTTTTGACTGATAAACATAACTGCACAAAATCTAGTTTAATTTCTTCTTTTCTTCCCTCTCAAATTTTAATATTTCGTCTATTTTAACATGCTAGATTTAGGATTTTTTAAAATTTTTTTTATTGTAATTCCCTCCAGGTAACCAGATATATCTAATTCTGCAGGAATTAAAAAAAACACCAAAAAACATTGTTAGTACAGGGTACAATTCTGAAAGGAGCAACAGAGCAATAGCTGACACAAAGGTACATACCTGCTAGAGAAAGGCCTAGCATTTCAGAGGTGACATCAATGGTGGAGGCCCGTTGCACAGTGCGGGATTTTGCACCATGGCGGGGACTGTGTTCTCTTGCTGTCATTTTGTCATGAAGAACCCTTCTTTTCTTGCTGCTTGGCTTTACTGATGTTTGTCTCACAAAGTAGCAGAGTGCAGCAGGCTGTCTCCAATTGCTATTCCTTTTACATTACCACGCTAAGCAATAAAGAAAGCAAACACATACCAAAATTTTAGGCTGCTATCAGCTACTGTTCTTTTTAGCAGCAGCAAACCTACGGCTATAAAATTGCCTGAGGCCATTCAAATAAAACGCTCAAGGCAGATTAAATGCACAGTAACTCAATTTGCATGAGCCGTACATCTGTAGCATTTTACTGCAAATTGTTGAAGACTGTACCACATGCAAGAAAGGCTCTTCTGTCAGAGAATGGGGGTTGAGAGAGACTCGTTAACAGACCAGCTGCTCTTCTCCTTTGTCTAAGTTATTAAACCATCCTTAATGAAGTTTCCTGGTTTTCATAATCCCTGGGGAACACAAGTAAATTCATCAGATGGGGCCTCTCTCTGCAGAGGTAGGACAAGGGATAAGGACAAAGGCACAATGGGTCAGAAGAATGCAGAACAAAAGGGCAGGAAATGTTGTTAGTGTCCACACACTGTGCTGCTCCAGGCTCCACTGCCATGTAGGGATGTTGAAAACTATAAATAAAACCTACTGGATCAGAGCAAGACTGAAATTCTGGGATGGCGATGGAAAGTAAAAGGGGATGCCTGCTGATGTGGCACATGGCAGAGGCTGTGCTTTTCCTTCACCCTAAACTTTACTGGTTTAGAGACATCCATGACAGCTGCTCTTCCCCTCACAATTTCCATAAAGCAAAACATTATGGTAGCAAAGAAACACAAAGCCTATAGAAAATTCTGTTGCATTGTTATATGTGATACTTTTGTTTTGCCTGATAAAGTTGAAGGTTCCTTCTGACAGCCACACTAGCGTTGCAGTTACGGAACTTTTGTATTCATTTCATACTATTATGACAAACTCCATTCATTTAGGAAGTGAGACTAGGAGTAAAATCTGATAAACCTGAAAGGTAGTAATACAGTGACTAATAACTTCACAGGAGCCCCCATTTATTTTACAAAGGATTTGAGCCACGCTGCATAACGGAAGTGTATTTCTTTTCCTTTTAGGTTGATGGACCTAACGATGGGCAAGACGCATTCTAAATAAATAAAGCATGTAGCTTTCACTTGTGTTTAAAATGGGCATTTCAAAAATGAAGCCCTCCAAAGGAACACTCAAACTGCCTAACTTAAGTCTCTGAATGTAACTAGTCAGTATCTCCCTCTGGAGGATTTGAAAAGAATCTTCCCCTCTCTGCAGGAACTTAAGCATCTTCTTAACTAGCACTGGTTCACTGGACATCTGAAATTCAGATGCAAACTAAAAACCTCAGACAACTGGATTGAACACAACCCTGGTCATCCACATGAGCTTAGGAATGAGATTTAAATGGCAAGCTCATTCTAGGGAGGAAGGAATTTCAGCTAAGTCCAATGGATAGGTCATTCTGTTGACAGTCAGAACTAATAATTTGTCTTGGTGATTCAACTCAGCTTTATACAGTATAATGTCATAAGCTAATTCCAAACAGGAAAAGAGAGAATTCTTAGGTGGAAGAAGCAGAAATTGACAGCTCTGTACATCCCATCCCTAAAAGCTTTGAAACTCAGTGACAGCATACAAAACAACACTCTGCTTATAGATAAAATTAATGACAGGCAAAAATTAAAGCAGGCTATTTTCCAATTCATACAGAACCACACAACAGCTGAGGTTGGAAGGGATGTCTGGAGACCATCTAATCCAAGCCCTCTGCTCAAAAGCAGCATCACATAGAGCAAGTTGCTCAGAACTGTGTCCAGTTGGATTTAAACTCTGGCTATAACACCTCTGGCCAACCTGTTTGTTCCAAAGTTCAATTTCTCTCAAGTGGTTAAATAGCTAGTGAGCCATCAGTCTTTCTTGAATAGTACGGAATACGTTAAGATTTGGTCAAATAAAACCTCCGTCAAAATTCTTTGCCAGTTTCCAAGTCTTTCTGTTCTCCTAATTATTCGTCTCTTCTTTCAGCAGTTGGTTTTCCTTGGTTTGTTTTTTATGTAATGTGGTGGTTAATGGTTTGTAAGTCCATTAAACCTAACTGATTAATGAAACAGAATACCTACAAAATGTGCTTGCAGAAATTCAGACAGGATGCCATAGCTCCTTCCCCCAAATCCTACAGACACCTTAATCAACCAATAACTAACAGTTCACACAGGTACAAGCCAGAGAATAGTTAGGTTAAACAGTCCAGTTGTATGTCTGTATTTGCTGTCAACCTTAAAAAGGGTCAATCCTTGAGAAGTTAAAATAGGGTCAGATATTTGTTTTGAAACCATTTTTATTTAAGTATTACTGAGCATAAGGCTAAGATCTCAACTATTCATTTAAATTGAAATATTAATTTCTCACCTAATGATAATTTTTAGCTTACACTAATCATACTTACAGAGGGCTCTTTTCCTCATGTGTGGAGGGACTTTGTGTATCATCAGTTAAGTCCACATCTAAAAAATTAACAAAATAATCAGCATAAATAATCTTTTTATACAGCATAAATCACAACAAACAGGCAGGTACCATTCTCAGATTAACTGTAAATATAACTTATGATTAACAGCTCTCACATTAATGTTTACTGAAAATGGAAAAAAAGAAAAACAGAGTATGATCCTCTGCTGACCCTCACTAGTCATAGCAGTGCCCAGTCAGAGCAGGAGCACAAAGAAAGAAGGTTATGCTGAAAAGGACTGACTTCAGGTCAGCATTTGGTGAACAGCTGTAGCGTTGGGTAGAATAGCTGTAAAAAACATATGTTAACATGTTTACTGAAAGGCTTGGTGCTATTAAGAAAAAGGAATGTGTATGATATGTTGAGTATGAGACTTGTTACTATGCCTGCTTTTCCATAGTTAAACGTACAAAATTTTGCTGCTTGGAAGAGTTACAACCACCACTGTCAGGAGAAAAGAACCTGTGTCAAAACATAAGTTCAAGAGATCAACATGTAGGGCTCTGTCTCCATTGAGTGAAATTACTATGTGAGATAGGCTTCTCTGAATAGCTAGCAATAATCATTCAGGAAAAGTGAATTATTTTTAAATCTACTACAGGTTAACTGAAGGTTTGTATTTGCTAGTAGTACCATCTCATTCAAGTACATATTCATTAATAGGATACACCTTTTAAGACCTCCCATGTATGCTGTACTACAATACAAGAGATGGGGAAGTCCAGTCTGAGCTTTTTAATTTAATCACCAACCCTACCAATTACCCAAGACTGCTTAAGAACATAGGTATAAGCTCTTATCTCTTATGGAAAGGGTTTTTATCTCACCTAAACTGCACAGAAGGCAGGTATCTGACCTCAACTCACTGCCCAGGGTCTCTATACAGTCAGTGGTAAGACATAGGCACTTCCAGAGAATGAGTCGCTGTTTTCCAAGGTAGGTGGGATGAATCACCACATGAAGGTACCTCTCCTCCTCTCTCTAATTATAGAAAGAATTTAGGTAACTAGCTTAGGCCTGATGCTGCAGCTGAGCAAACTGGATCCCTCCCACAGATGCTAGCTCAGGCAGGGATGACATCCTTCTATTCACTGCATAGCCCGACAGACCCAACCAACAGGTGCTCTGATCGCTCTCTTGAATTACAACCATTTCGACAATTTCTTTACAAAAGAAACCTTTATAATCATGTTTTTTATAAAAATCAGTGGAGGTAGGATTCCTACCAAAAGAAAGGTAATATTAACACACAGGATAGTTCCCTTAGATGGTACCAAAGACTGGTTCCAGTTCCACAGCCAGAAATCTCAAAGACTGATGTAATTCATGTCCAGACAAACCCTATCCTGAAGATGGCATGATGCATCTACACATAGCCTTTGGCTTTGCCCTTACTAGTACTGCAGACAGCGGATGTTGGCAGTAAGTGCAGCTGTGCACCCACCCCATGAAGTTTTGCTGCAAGTCCAGTTTTCAACTGTGGCTTTGACAGAAGTATGAAAAGCTGCCGTTGACTCCCAATGGTCATTTTCATTGTGCAAAAAAGGCTTCTGAACAAGATTCCCTTCTATTATGTAAATATTTATTGGGTGCTCTATTAGTGCAAAAGCTAATAATCTGAAGAAAAGAGCTTCATCAGATGCCACTTCTGGTCTCCTACTTTCTGTCCTGGCAGTTGGCCATGGGAAGCAAATGCCTCTTTGCTCAGCTGCATGGCCTCACCTCCTACAGGCTTGAAAGTTTCAGACATTTGGTCTCACTCTGACTGCTTAAAAAATCTCAAGCAAAACCGATGATCATCTCAGCCCCAAAATAATCCCTTGATGATTAGGTTGTACAACTACCAGCTAATATTCCCCTCATCTCTGTTGCCTTTGGTCTGTTCCCTTCTTGGAAAAAACAAATTTCCTACCAAACTACTCCTTGAAACAAACATGTCAAGTGAGATCAAACCTTTTTTCACCTCAACACCCACTTTTTTGACACTCATTACACAACTGTAAGAAATAGGAATTTTCCAATTCACACATCAATAAGCAGGAGAAAGAGGCTACTGCAATTATAGACTAAATCAAAATCTACTTTAAGACTGTACTTCTCTACCGCCATAGTGCTCTGGGGTTATAGTATTTGATCCAGTAAGGAGATATGCCAAAGCAGAAAATGCCACAGCAAAGGCATATTAAATGTTACTGATACATCTAGATGAAGAGACTAACAGAGAAAGGGAGAGTGTGACAGCCTCTTTAACGCTTCTCTAAAATCCTACTACAAGTTTGCCATTATCTCCACGAGGGAGCAGAAAAAGTAGTTGTGAGGTACTTACTGAACTGCAATTAGTTTTACCACTCTCTGGACTTACTGGACTGTAAGGTTCACTTCTCTGAACCTTACAAATCAGGGTTCCTATTCCCAAACAATCCGCTTTGAAACACCAAGAGGGCTCCTTCAGCGAACTGCGTTGTTCAGATAACATCTTAGTAAGAAGTTTCTCTGATTTAAAATGTTTGAGCAATACACAAAGAAGTAGAAATGAATACTGCCTGAAACAGTATTTGGATCTGCAACATGGCCAGGTTTCCAACTGACATCCTATTAACTATGTCATTAAGGACAAAATAATGGCAAGAATGAAATTCCAGACTATGCTAAGTTATGACTATGTTGCCTGCCATGAAAGAGCATCATCTCTAGTGTAACTAGCATACAGTTGTTTGGTTTTGGTTTTGGGTTGGGTTTTTTTACCTCCAACCACAGAAACACTTCGTAGTGAAACAAGATTCGCCATGCTGGCTCAAGACCAATCTTCCAGCAATTCCAGCATCCCATCTCCAACAGCAATTTCAAAGAAGATGCAAGGAACTTTATTAAACATGCTTCAGGGTCTGAAGTGAACGTCTGGATCAACCCTATCACTCGTGGCTGAAGAGGTGGCTCAAGGGCAGAACATCAGCTCAAAGGACAGCAGGTCCCAGGGAAAGCCTCCTAAGATTGACACCAATTAAGAGCTTTTTTTTTTTTACAGTGTCGGAAGCACTTCACTTTTCTGCCTCATTTAATGAGAGACTGAATGTCCTGAATCTCACACAGGTCACACCAGCAGCAAAGCTCAGAGCCATGAGCTTGACACTGTCCTGGTTTAACGCCAGCTGGCAACTAAGCCCCGCACAACTTCTCGCTCACTCCCCCCTGGTGGATGGAGGATAAAATCGGAAGGGTAAAAGTGCAAATTCACATGGCTTGAGATAAAGACAATTTAATAGGTAAAGCAAAACAAGGAATTAATTCACCACTTCCCACCAGCAGGCAGGTTTCAGCCATCTCCAGGAAAGCAGGGCTCTGTCATACTTAACAGTTCTTTGGAAAGACAAATGCCATTATTCTTACTGTCCACTGTTTCTTTCTTCTTCTCCCAGCTTTATGTGCTGAGCATGATGCCATATGGTGTGGAAAATCCCTTTGGTCAGGTGGGGTCAGCTGTCCCGGCTGTGTCCCCTCCCGGCTCCTTGTGCACCCCCAGCCTACTCACTGGTGGGGTGAGGAGCAGAAAAGGCCTTGACTCTGTGTAACACTGCTCATCAACAGTGGAAACATCCCTGTGTTATCAGTGCTGGTTTCAGCACTTAATTAACTCTATCTCAGTCAAAATCAACACAGACACCTTGAGTCAGATTCTTCTCTCTGACCAAACTCATGGAGACGGCAATGCAGGCTACGTCTACTGCAGATCCACAGGCTGACAAAAGAGTTTCATTCCAGTTAGGACATCTCCCTTACCATGCCTTTTGGGAAGGCAAAAGAAAGCAAGTGGCACCAGCATCCAATACATATCTTTGCCTCCCACTGAAATTACTTCCCCTCAAAAACATACTTGGGCAGGTGCCCATCTGTCAGCAAAGAGGCTGTATTTCCCCCTCTCAGTCTACTCCTTAAGTCTAAGTTCCCCTCACAAGCTGGTTGAATGTCTCCCTCTGCCAAGGACCATAATCTTGATTACCAAGGACAAAAAAATAAGTTTGCCCTGAAGAGCCTTTTTGTCACCTCTGAAGCTCTCCTGAGTATTGTCAGCAAGTGGGTAACCTCAGCAAGAACAGCGAAAAGTCCTCCACAAGAAAATAAAATAAGCTACTGCAAGATACACTGAATGTATTTGTGCAGCATGGAAATATCCAAATGCAGCCTTTCAGTGATATTTTGATAAAACATATTTTCAGCAGCAGAAAGTAGCTTGCTTTCTCTCTGCTTTCCTGATCACCCTCTCCCTTACAGACAAATCTGTAAGTCATAAACTTTATTCTTTCCCACTATGAACTTTAGCAAACTCGATTAATCTAAAAACCTAATTTTACCTCTTTAATACATTTGAGTACTTTTAATAGAAAACTGTGATTTAGGCCACTTAGTTCTTTGTGCAAATTAAGTGTATTTGTCTATATTCACAACTGAAATAGAATTAGCATTCTTCTTAATGAGGTATTATTTTATTTTCATTTGTTATCACACCGCTTCTATTTCTCCAGTACTCCTCCTATGAGCACAAAAATATGTACACCCACAGGTGGAAGTGAGCATTTGTAACACACACATTTGCTGACTAAAAAGGAAAATGCACAGCTCTGTTTCACTTTGTAGAACAGCTTACATCAAGTTGAGCACAACACAGTGCCACAGAAAACAAGAGCAGTTTGAAGTCCAACCCTCTCAGCCTCCTCCGTTGTTTTACCAACAGAAATTGAAGCAGCTTACAAATGGTCTTTATCCTAAATTAATCTCGTCTTCACAAGAAGCATGCTGGGTACATTGAGGTGAAGTTTCCTGTGCATGGGATGACTTTCCTCATGACTCAAGGTTCACACATTACCTATACAAGACATGGAAAAGCCCATGAGGACAGGGGACATACTTTCTGTTGAGGAGCTTGGGCTGGAAACACATTTCTGAACTTAATGGCACTTTGAACACAATCCTACAGCCTGCC